CCTGGAATGTATATATCTGCCCAGCTCCTTGGAGAGAAAGCTCTGGACTGTAGCTTTCATTTACGGCACTGCTGTGCTATCTCAAGCTGATCACACTTTCTACTAGGGAGGTTTCTTTCCCCCTTCTTAATGACAGCAAAGCACTATTAAAGAAGGAAGCCACTCCATGAACATAATCACTGTGGCTGGGAGCGTGACAGAGACATCGAGAAGGATGCCTTTCAACTAGTAGTGTGGGTAGAGGAAAGAGAAAAAAGGGGAGGGTGAAGAAGAAGAGAAGGAAGAGAAGGACAAAGAGGGACAGGAAGGGAGAAACAGAGGGAGGGATAGAGAGAGAGAGGAGCCAGGGAATAAAAGAGGGAAGGAGAGAAGAAGGGAGGGGAGAAGGAGATGAAGAGAAGGAAGGAAGGAGGAGAGGGGAGAGAGAAAATGAGTAGAGCTGTATCTTTCTTTTCCTACCTTCCACCACTTACTCAGGCTCCACCATTAGCTTAGTAGTTTTTGAACTACCCCTTCACACATGTTTCATCTTTACATGTACTGGTTAGTTTTATATCAACTTAACACACAGTAGAGTGATCTGAGATGAGGGAGCCTCAATTGAGAAAATGCCTCTAATAAGATCAGGCTATAGACAAGCCTGTAGGACATTTCCTTAGTGATTGGTGGGAGAGAGCCCAGCACATTGTAGGTGGTGCCATCCCTGAGTTCTATATAAGAAAGCAGGCTGAGCAAGCCATGAGGGGCAAGCCAGCAAGCAGCACCCCTCTGTGGCCTCTGCATCAACTCCTGCCTTCAGGTTCCTGCCCTGACTTCTTTCTATGATGAGCTATGATGTGGAAGTGTAAGCCAAATAAACCCTTTCCTCTCCAAGTTTGATAACAGCACTAGCAACCCTACCTAAGACACTACACAAGGGGTTAAACATTATTGTTGTATTAGCATCCAAGGGGCATTTCCACTCGGCTCCTGCAAATGGAATTCCATGCCACCACCAGCGCCCTCAACACATACCAGGGCAAACTTCAGAGTCATTTTCTGCACCCTAGAGATTGCTTTGTCTTTGCGAGACCGAAAAGAAAAACCCATCAGCCGGCAAGGATTTTAATTATTTATTTTTAATTACAGAAGCGATGCTTGAATATGCTCCAGTAGTAAAAAATTCACACAATACATATAAAATGAAGATCTCCCCAGTTGAAGAATCTTAAATAGCTCTGATCTTAACCTGGCAGTCCCCAGCGCTGCTGTGGGCCAGTTCCGGGTCTCAGTAGAGAACCCGGCAGGGGTGATGGAAGGTCCTACTTGCATTCAGGGGAGGATGGGGAAGTGAAATGGGCTTTAAGAACCTAGCAGTGAGGAATGGGCTCTTAGAATTTGATGTTCCTCATAAAGGAATGAGGAAGAGGAGCGTGAACCCCACCCCTCTAACCCATCCTCTCTAACCCAGTGCTTCTCAACCAGTGGGTCGCCACCCCAAACAAAGAGCATCGGATATTTACATTACAATTCATAACAGCAGCAAACTTATAGTTATAGAGCAGGAATGAAAATAATTTTATGGTTGGCGTCACCACAACATGAGGAACTGTATTAAAGGGTCACAGTATTAGGAAGGTTGAGAACTGCTCTAATCCTTGCTGCCTTTAGGCAATCCCGCCATATTTAACCATAATAAGTGGGAGGATTTTTGTCAATTCCATCTTTTCCTCAACAACATCCCAATAGTGGTTTTTTTTTCCCCTTATGACTCAATAAACACCATTATAAATTCATTCTGGAGCCAAATGGAGATAGGTAGAGAGTTTTAGAAAAGAAGTTAGGAACACATTGGAAGGATGTGTTCCTGGAAGGAAGATAGGATGGAGGCTATCTTAGAGACCAGCGATTCAGCCCTTCACCTTGCAGATGACAAGAAAAGTTGGGTCTCCTGAAACAAATCACACAGGCAGAGGTAGAAACAGTGAAAACACCCAGCCTTCTGCATTGGGGTTCTAGACACCACTGAGAGTTACTTAGAAGACCTGGGAAGGGGAAAACAAATCTTGGTCCATATCCCGTCATCTACCTTAGAGAAGATGAATGTTAAGTATCACTCAAAGGCCAAGCCATTTTTTAACACAAAAGAGTGAACTTTTAGTTATCGGGAAAGCAAACGTTTTTTACTTATCTGTAGTTGTGTTTCTCAAAAACCTGATTATCACCTAACTGGATCAAAATTCTTAGGAATTCAGCCCAGGGAAGATTTGCTTTTGTTTCATTTTGTTTTGTATTGTCTTTTTAAGTTCTCTAAAAATTTGATTATGGCTTCAGAGGAGATATATGATGTGGACATTATTTTTAGTTGTTAGGGGTACTGTGGAGTGTGATTCGGGTTATGTTGGGGGATGTCATTAATCTTAGGGAATTCATGCTAACATAGTTCTGAGTCCCTTAGGGTTATTATCGGGTTGGGTGTGTCCAACTTGCAGCCCTCGGGCTGTGTGAATCCCAGGATATCTACAAATGCAGCCTGATCTATTCAGAGATGACCACATCATGTTGCAATGTCAGAAGGTTGGATACCTCTGGTTCAGGCCCACCTGTGTCTTAGTTTAGGTTTTATTGTTGTGAGGAGACACCATGACCACGGCAACTCTTACAAAGGCAAACATTTAGTTGGGTCTGGCTTACAGTCTCAGAGGTTTAGTCCATTATCATCATGGTGGGAAGCATGGCCGCGTGCAGGCAGACATGGTACTGGAGAAGGAGCTGAGAGTTCTACATATTTTTTAATTAATTAATTAATTTTTTAATTTACATTATATCCTGGTTGTAGGCCCATCCCAGCTTGCCTCCCAGTCTCCCCCTCCCCTATTCCTCAGAAAAGGGGAGCCCCCCTTCCCATTCACCCATGGGGTGAGTTCTACATCTTGATCTATGGGTAGCAGGAGACTGTGTGCCATACTGGCCATACCTTGAGCATAGGAGAGCTCAATGTCCACCTCCAGGGTGACAAACCTCCTCCAACAAGGCCACACCTCGTAATGGTACCACTCCCTATGAGCAAAGCATTTAAATAGGTAAGTCTATGGGGGGGGCACTCCTATTCAAACCACCACACTGTTTAATTAGATATTCTCCAGAGGCCCATGAGTTCATGGTGTGGTCCTCAGGGTGGCACCCTTGGGAGGTATTAGAACCTTCAGAGGCAGTGAAGGTGGTTAGGTTGCTGGGCACATCACTTTCAAGGAGATATTTGGACCTCAGCCCCTTTCTCTCTCCCTCTCTTCTTTTCCCTTCTTTCCCCCACATGAGGCATGTGGCTTTGCTTTGCCACATGTTCTTGCCATGGTGCCGTGGCATGCTTCCTCATCACAGATCTGAAGAAGTGTTGTCAGTCGTGGGCTGAAGCTTCCCAAACTGTGAGCTGCAGCAACCTGCTGACTTTGTAAGTCAGTCACTTCAGGTAGTAGTAACGGCAGTAGAAGTAATGGCACACTAATATAGGCACTGTGTATGATGGTGCCTGTCATTTACCTTTAACGGTTCAGCAATGGCATAGACATGTTTAAGGTGCACAAGCATGGCTGGTAAGCGCAACAGTTTTGGTTTTTGAATCTGAGCTATTGGTTGTACTGGCTGGTTTTTTGCCAACTTGACACAAGCTAAATTTTAATTTTATAACCAAATGGCCAGTAATATAAGTTCTCCACTTCTGAAGATTCTGAATCAATCAATATTTATTTCTTGCTTTTCCCTTTGGTCTTTTGGTCTTTTGGAGACAGGGTTTCTCTGTGTAGTCCTGGCTGTCCTGGAACTTGCTCTGTAGACCAGGATGGCCTCAGACCCAGAGATCTGCCTGCCTCCCAGGTACTGTGATTAAAGGCATGAGCTTCCATGCCTGATGATTCTGAGTCTCTCTAATGGCTAAAGAATGATTGATGTAGAGCTGTGGTCTTTTTCTTTTCTTTCTTGGTGTCTGATAGAATTTGTGCCCCCTTTCCTTAACAGTGAGGCTTTTGTTCTCTTTGCTTGTCTTGTCTATCTCAGATGAGACCAAAGTACAGAACATCCTCACCATTCTAGGCAGGCCTACAGATGGCACTGAGTTGATTTGAAGGCATCTAGTAAACCAGTGGTCATCAAACTTGTATGCCTAGAGAACCTATCTGTAAGCTTTCAGCAGGCAGGTGGGGTGGAGGCAGGTGAGATAAAGGTGGATGAGGTAGAAATGGGTGACTTTTTAACAGCAGAGTTGACTTTAATTCCAATGGACATCTAGGTTTGTGATATGTTGTTTCAAATCTCGGTGGCAGAAAGACAAGATCAGAGGTGAAATCCCTACCTTAAGAGCCATTTAAGCTTGTGTGAAGAAAAAGCCTTGCTTTTTAGTGACATTCTCTATACTTTATACTTTGTACCCATTTCAAAATAGAGACCCAAAAGAGAGAAGGTGATGAATTAAGGCAATATCTAATGTGTGTGCGCGCACACACACACACACACACCCTACATTGTATTTATTTTTTAATAAGTAACTGGCATTTTCTCTGGTGGCTGCCTTTTATTGGTGGGTGAGAAGGCCTTTTATTCTTTCTTCTCTTATTACAAACATATCAACTACCTCAGGAATTTTGGATGAAAGGTAAAAATGTTTTGTCAGCATCGAAATGAGTGATGGTTTTAATGAGAAACTCTTGATGAACACTTACCAGGCAAGTTGAAAAGGAGAAGCAGAAACACAAGAAACAGAAAACATAACTTCCCCTTTCTGTGCCCCTTCTCCCAACCACCTTTCTTATTAACACACTCTGGGGTCTCGCCTGTCTGGGAAAGAAGACAGGAGCAGCTCTTACGCAGAAAAAGCTAGGTCTCTGCCGCAGGAACCAGCAGGAACCTTCAGAGGCATGCCATAAAGCAGCTTCCCCTGTTCTTATGTAATACATCTTTGCAGCTTAAACCTTTAATTAACCAGAGATGTCATCAAGAAAAGTTTGCCAAGGAAGAGGATGCCTGGTTTAATTAAAAAGATCTTTAATAGTTATTAAGGAAATCAATTTGGAATTCAGGCCTGGGAGCTGAGCTGGGTGAAGGAATCAGTGAGAGGAACCTTCCCATCTCTCTGGGTAATAGATTTTAACCCTGTGATCTGTACTGCTTCAAAATCTCCCAGCCTGGTGGTCCAGCACATGGAGAGAGATGCTTGTCACTCATCGTTTTTGAATCTGCAACTCAGATCCGAGAGGCAGCTCTGTCTTAATACAGGAGAATGCCAACCTTTCTGGAATGCAGTTATCCTGGCAATCAAAAGAAAAAGAAAACCTTTATAAATGGAAAAATCTCCTACCTCATAAGTACAAACGATTCCTTTTTCCCAAAGAAATGCATTATTTTTCCCCAAGGATTTCTGCTTAGTCTGTACATCAGGGTTCTTTTCCATTACCGTTTAAACTGGTCTTTCTCAGATCAGGCCAGAGAAGGGGATTTGGCTCTTTTGTGCACAAGAGAAATATTATTTTCACTTGTCTCATGAAAATGGTGACACAAAAGGTGAGGTAGCCAGGGGATGGGTGAAATAAATTGTCTGCCTAGAGAAAACTACAACAGGGAGATGATATTAATATCATTTTCTGATGAAACTCAGTTTTAAGTTCAAATGCTAAAAGCACTTTTCAAATAATCTATGTTTAATTAATATTTGTACTGCACTTAGTGAGTGAAATGGAAGACAGGTACAGAGCATGGCTCTGAAAATGATTTTTCTGTTGGGATGTAGCTAATTTTCAGTTGGATCAAGGTATGTCTAGCTAGGAGACATACTGTCATCCAACTGAGACACATGAGGAGGGACCAGGTCTTTAATGCTCAAACCTTTGTTCAAATTGGCAGCTTACATTTTCTGAGAGAGTGGCAGTGGAGGGAGTGGGGAGTCTATTTATATATATTCCTCAGAGCAAAGTGCTTAGAATCTGGGCTTGTAATATCTTTGTTGTTTAATGATTATCAGGAGACTTCTGGGTTTAGTGGCTTCCCCATCTCCACTCCCGGAAGTGTCTCAGTTCTTCTTGGCTTATCAAACCTAGGGAAGAATGTCCCTTAGGAGCAAATGTGTATTGAGGAGGGGTGGGGACTATGGCAGGGTAAAATATGGTATAGTTTGAGCTGGCCAGGAACACATTGTCTTGCTCTTAGTAGATGATGCAGATTTTCTGGGCTACAATTTCTTCAAGCACAAACTGAAGAGTGCTGAACTAAATGATCTCCAAGGTCCCTCATTGGACCCTATGATTGGCTCCCCTGATCCATTTTCCCCTTTGTCTCCAAGAAAGGAGGCAGTGTTCAGGAACACCTGCTTATGGGCTTGTGGCCACGTACAGTGTGCAAGCTGGCAAGCAGCAGGCTAGATCCAGATTATGTACCTGTTTCGTTTACTTGATCCGTTTTCCTTTCATTGAGGGGAGGGGTTTTGACTTAGCTACCCAGGAGTCTTCCTGATGGTGCATCACCATCTACACATCCCTCTCTCAATAATCCGGACAACCATGGCTACAGCTGATTTGTGTTCGTGGTGACCAGGTGTGGGAGAGCATTGCTGGACTTCCGCGAACCCCCCCCATTCCCTACTGCTGTTATCATTGTGCCACATACACCAATGTTCCCTACTGCTGTTTTCATTATGCCTACACCACTATTCCTTGCCACTGTTTCATCCATTCATGTTATCTTCTTGGCTTACATCGGCCTGTGGGCCAGAGGGAGAGGTAGTTGCATGATTAGTGTCTGGGGTCAAGAGTTCCTTGTCCTCTAAAGGAACCCTGATTCTTCCAGGGCTCTGTGAGCTACTATATAGGTGAAATATCTTCAGTTGAGAGCGGATGGGATCAGGAAAAGCGATGACGTCATGCAACGTGCCACACAAAGCCAGCTTGATTCATTCATATTGTCAACAATAGTCTCCTGTGACTGTTTAGAGTATCTCAAATGCAATAATATAAAAGCTTGAAGAGCAAAGACCCACATTTTAAGCAATCTTTCTTCTAGAAGCTTCACTAGAATTTCTCCCATTGGTCATCAAATATATTATGTATAATAGACCCTGAGAAAGGAAATTGTTGACAATTATGCCAGAAAAATTAGCAGAAGAAACCCAAGCAAACTGAGGCATGGGGTCATTTTCCTCAGCCTGCAACACCTGCTAGTGACTCCATATAAAATGTGCCTTGACCTCTGGTGGTTATCTTAAATTTTTGGCTACCCACTCTTAGGGCATACTTGGCACCTTTTTGTGGAAGTTTCTGGTAGATTGTAGAGGCCTATACAATTTAGTTACTTCTAAGATTTAGCTTTCTCATTCACTTTGACCTTAGGCTCATGTCTCCAAGCTGAGGCCTACCAAGAAAGATGCCCATTTTTGACTCTCTCCCTTTGATCTGTGGGATCCAGAGTGTGACAACTGTCATTGGGTTTTCCTGTTCTTCAGACTATTCTTTCAGAGTCCCCACTAGCTAATTTGGGTTAAAGATTTTTCTTTCTTTTTTTTTTTTTTTTATTAAGCTGAGTCACTCCTTCACACTAGCTAGAACATTGCATTTTTTATGCAAAACGTGGGGGAGGGGCTGCCATCATTGACGATCAAACCAGTTTCTACAACTAGCTAAGACCTATCATTGTAGCAGTAGTAAATTTTACGCTTGGCATTTGGATAAGGAACAAAGAATGTTTGGGGGCATTTCAAAATAATGAAAAAGCAGGCTTTTGAAATGCAAAAATCTAAATCCCTTTCAAAGAAGCAAATTATACAGTAGTGCCTAAGAAAATAAAAAGATGGAGGGAAGGGCTGAGGTAGCGGGAGCATAAAGTAAAATGGTTAATAGATAAAGATCCAAAGAGGTGACTGTTAGGTGCCTTCCCCCATAGGTAGTGCCACCCATGCACTCATCAGAGATGAGAGGGAAAGGCACCTGACTTTATTCCTTTGACAAAGATGTACTAACCTGGCAGAAAAGGTGGGCATGGGGGTTGCTAATAGCACATTCTCCTTCACCTCTCAGCCCAGATGATTCCATTTCTACTGCAGAAGAAAGTCCTGGTAGGAGACCCAGGACATGTGGTTTTCACAGGATCTATGGTGGCGAGAAGAAACAAGTACACAGAGGCAGAGGGGGCTGATGAATTATTTACAGCTAAAACTTGAACAGGGTCCACGGCAGGAGTTGGCTCAAAGGCTTGTGCCTCTAGGGCTGTGGAATAAAGACAGACATCTTTGAATCCTCTCTCTCTCTCTCTCTCTCTCTCTCTCTCTCTCTCTCCCTATTTCCCCTGCTAGGGAACCCTGCCAGAGCTCGAGCAGCATGCATGCCTCTCATCTTATTGTGCTACCATCTGCCCGGCCCCTGTTCACCTTTCCACCTGGTCTAGAATTGGTAAAGGCCTCCACAGAAAAGTGCCTAGCCCCAGTAGGTCAAGTTTTGTGAGGCCTGGCCTCAGGGGCATCTCCCAGGTGCTGACAGGTCTGGTAAGTGTGCAGATGGCAAGATAGGCACACAGCCACACGTCCAAGAAGAACATTCACGCACCTCCCCCCCACCCATGAACTCACGGTGGACAAGGAGAAGGGACTTGAAGCATCTGATCCAAAAGGAACAAAGGCTGCTGCCTGTGCAGTGAGCTGGAGGAGAGTGACAGGCGGACAGCTAAGGGAAACGAAAGCAAAGTGTGAAAACCCACAGCAAACGCTGCCAGAGAGCATATGCATTGGACTTCACGGCTTCCTCCCGCTTCCAGCTTACACTTGCTCCATATGCCATTTTACACAGCTTTCTGGGGCCATAATGGGTTTTATTCCATAGTTTTTATACTAACACGAATGACTCACATCTGCTCCAGTACCCAATTTGCTCTCTAATGTCTTCGCCTGTGAGGAAAGAACATCTACAGAAGGGGTGGCACAGAGAGTCCAAATCCAGGGACAAAGGGAAGGTTAGACCCTTAAATGCATCAACTGAGGACTTCTTTGCAAGAATGTCACACTACACAGGGGCAAATAGAAACCTAGAGAAATGAACTGGCTGAAGAATCATGACAAGGAGGTACATTTATTTAGGCTGAATGAGAGTCCTAATTCAGAGCAGACTTTTTATTTTTATTTTTCTTGCCAAAAGCTTTCTCTCCCTATGTTGCTTGTGATGAGAAAAAAAGTAGTTTTCGTTAGTCACCAATGATATAGTTAATCCCCCCTGTGGGATCAACAGAGCTCTGTGTTATTTAGGCGGATGTGTATGCATGAGCATTCTTGTGTGAGCGGATGCACACATCCATGTGGAGGCCAGAGGACAACCTTGGATGTTATTCCTCGGGTATCATCCATCTTGTGTTTTTGAGGCAGGGTCTCTCACTGGCCTGGAACTCCCCAAGCAGACAAGGTTAGCCAGTCAGTGCACCCCTAGGGACCTACCTGTCTCTGCTTCTTCAGCTCTGGGTATACAGGAGAACAGTTTCTTTTTAAAAATGAGTTCCAGGAATGGGGCTCAGAAGCTTGTCCTTGCACAGGCTGAGCCACGACCGCTCCCCCTAACCTGGTTATTAAACAGTTTTAAATATCTGTCCAAGCTTGGGGGCCTCTAGATACGTTGGCTATCAGGAGAGCTACAGTGCTGGGACCAGCATGGAGATGCATCTTCCGTAAGTTTGAAGACTCCAATTGTCATGGCGCTTACTGGCCTGGCAACCTAGACCAAAATGCCCTGTGGTTGGGTCAGTTAACGGCACTTAGCAAAGTTGGATTCTTTAGAAATCTTTCAAGGCCCCAGGGACTCTTCCCCATGTGAGGGGGAGATAAAAATAAAGGTTTGAGAGCAAGCTCTTTAAAAGAAAATCTCTAGTCTCCCCAGTATTACATAGCCCCCTGGGAAGTTGTTGCATCCCAGAGCCTTGGTTTCCCCGTTCGCCAAACAGTCCGAACGAAGCGCCTCGGCAGCAGGCAGTGTGGGGCTGCACCGTCTCAGGAGCTTGGCGGTGGTGTTGTGTAACTGTCTGCCATCTGTTACTCAGAGGCAGCATCACACACAAAGCGCTGAGCAATGGACTCCGGTGCTGCAGCTCCTGCCTGGAGCTCCTGGCACCTCCACAGCTTGCTTGGGGAGTTCCCTGTAGAGCTGACATAGAACACTCTGCAGGCCCAGGACTAGGGGGGTCTTGGGTGAGGCTCCTGGAAGAAATCCAGAGCTCAGAAAGCTGCAGGAGTGAGTGCTCTTGCCACTTCCGTCCCTCCCAGGACAGTTATTTATCCAGGCCTTTGCCTGTCTAAAGAGAGAGGACCCAACCTCTCAGAGGCTAGGGATTCAACAGAGACAAGGGTGGGAAGTCGGCAGGGGTCTGTGCCGTGCTCCAGGAGCTCCGCTGTATCTTGAAATGGGCTGGTGAGCCTTTTCTGGCTGTTCGATTTCCACAGCTGTTTCAAACCCCCATTTTTTTTTTTTTAACCTACATCCCTGCTCCAGGACTCCAGGGCCTTTGGGCAGGGCTGCAGTATGGCCGGAAAGACAAGGTACCAAATACTGAAGGCTTTGTGTGGGCTCCTCTGTTTCTGAGCACATCTTGAGGGCTCTCTGGCACTGGAGCAGGCATTCTGGATTGCTGACTGACACCTTAACTTAAACCTGCAGTCAGGTGTGGGCGCTGCCTGTTCCAAGCCTGTCAATGAGGATGGCAGGGAGCAGGCAGCTGTATTACTTGCTGTGTCATACTCACCTGGAGAAACTTGGAACCAGCATCCCTCCAACTAAAACAACGTCACTCCCGTGGCCACTGCTCCCCAGACTTCGCAAAAACTTTCACTTTTTCTCTCCGAACGCTCAGGCAATTCCGTGCTCACCTCCATTTTAAGATGAGGAATGGCCTAAAACTTAGGGAAGGGACAGGATGCAGCCGTGATTTGCCCTGATGGTGGGGCAGGCGAGGTTAGGAACCGCTCCTCCGTGCTCTAGAGAGATGGTTAGAATTCCAGCCTGCCTGAGGCCTATGTGGAAACTGGATTCAGAATTTTCCTGTCTCTCCAGCCAGGTGACTTTAGTCTATAACTGGAAGACGTATTTCTTAAAAGCAGTTGGGAAAGGGATTTTGAAAGACACTTGTACCAGCTGCCCCCACTTCCAGGCCATCTTTCCCAGGGCTCCCTGGAGCGGTGCTAACTTTAAAGACCCCTCTCCAGCAAGCCCTGATAATTTACAAGGAGAGAAAACTCCTCAGGGAGATAATTGTGCCTTAAGTTTTAAAAGGACATCTTTCCAGTCGAGTTTAGACAGGCTCGGTTTTCCATTAAGAAGAGAAAGTTGTCAGACACCTGCTCAAAAGCAAAGAAATACCCTGGGGAGATGGCTGAACTCGACCTTGGCCCTGAAATGGCCAAGCAGGTGAAGCTGGATTTGAGGCAGCATCTTGGTCAACCTCACTATCCCAGCGATGGGTCCAGGCTAGGGGCCCCTGGTGTGAGCACCACGCGCAGCGCCCCGGGCAAACAGGAACTCCTCCCAGCAAGTGTCTCACCTGGCGCGGGTTGGTCCTTAAGTATCAGCTTGCCATAGGTGTAGCCAGTATCTCCGTAACCCGTCCCCGCCCCACCCCGCCCCGCACAACCCCAGCCCAGGATGATTCCGGGGCTGCTTCCGAGGTCCCCCAACAGCTCCTCGGTCGGTCAGCGGGAGGCGGTAGCGCCCCCGCTCCGAGCCGGGTTCGCTTCCGCCCCGCTCTCCCTCGGAGTCAGTCTGTCTGTCGGGCCCGCCCTCCCTCCGCGCTCCCTCCTCCTCGTGTTTCTCCGGGGGTGCCCGGCACAGCCTCAGATTCCACCTACCCCGCTGCTCGAGTCAGTTTCCCTCGCGGCGGCCGAGGGCAACGGCAGCCGCGGCGCGCAGCAGCATCTCGGCGGCCACCGCGGCTCTCCGGCTGGATCGGGCGCCAGGCTAAGCTGCCCGTCGCCCCTGCCTAGCCGGGTCTGGAGTCTTCGGGGCTCCTTGCCACTCCGTCCTCGGCTGTGGCTTCTCTCTGAAGCGGGCGGGGCAGGATCCCGCCACCTAACATCGGGATCCCGGGAGCAGCGTTTCCCCTAGAGCGAGGCGCTCGGCGACTCGTGCCCCGCCGCCCCTGACCGCCGGGGGGTGCCCCAGGGACGCCTCGCCACCGAGAGGGGCGCACACAGAGGGGACCATGCGGCGCCTGACTCGCCGCCTGGCGCTACCCATCTTCGGGGTGCTCTGGATCACCGTGCTGCTCTTCTTCTGGGTCACCAAGAGGAAGTTAGAGGTGCCGCTGGGACCCGAAGTGCAGACCCCCAAGGTATGCGGTTTGGTGGCGCGCGGGGCGCCGGGCACTGGCCTGTGGGAGGGCGCGCGGTCCACACGCTGGGTTTGAAGGTTTCAAAGCAGGGGTCTGGATGCCGGGAGCAGGTAACAAGCTCGGGATGCGGCCATGGGGAGGTGCTTGAAGAATTTAAGAAGCTTGGGGCGTCTCCAGATCCTTGGCGTGTGTAAGTGGCAGTGGGCGTGGGCGGTGGGTGCGCGCTCGCAGGCAGAGCCCGGCTCCCAACTTAACCAGCTGTCCGGTGGCTGAGGGGGTGCTGCGGACTAGCCAGGCTGGAACTGGCGGTCGGTGGGTGCCGCTGGAGGGTCACTGGAGGCTGGCTGGCTGGGCGATGCTGGCACCCGTGAGAAGTCGGGTGGATGTGCGCGGAGCTCCTTCCCTCTGCTGCCAGGCCCCAGAGGAGGAGGCTGATGACCCGGGTGTGCTGCGCACATTAGCGAGCTCCCAGAGGGTGCCTTCCCTGCCCACCTGACCTGGCCTGGTGCCATCGGGCTCTGTCAACTGTTCCCTAGCCCATTCGCTGCGTTGAAAGTTGAATGCGCTCAGAACACTACGGGGGAGAGCCCATAAGAACAGACACCATCCTACTGGCAGGGAGTTGGGGAAATGGGAATCCAAGTGGCTTTTCCAACTCTTGTCCAGTCAGTGCAGCCCAGAGGAGAGGAAGGTTCCCCCTGCTGGCTCTCTCTTGAGATTCGGAGCCCTTAGCCTTCTTTTCCACAGTCTGGAACAGGAGAAACAGAGCGAGGCCTCCGGGGGATTTGCTGGCAGCTAAACAACCTTTAAGAGTCCAGGGCAGTCCCTAGGAGTGGAAGAAAGCCTTGCAGGAGCCCGTGGTGGGAAAGCAGAAGACCTAGGAACATCGCTGTGTTGAGTGAGAGCAGATCTCATCGCTAAGTACAGTAGGGAGGGCCTACTGTGTGCCGAGTGCATGTGCATAGTGGGTGCTTACTTCATAAGCAGTTGTTGGATATTGTTTTTATTTCATAGTTATAAGGGGAGACAGGTCGAGGGTCTATAAGCAACTCGCCTTAGACCGTTCTGGATTTGAACTCAAACCTCCACAGAGTTTTCCCACTTGGATCCCTATAGACTCTTCATTTAACCATGTACACTGGCGCTTGTGTGTTGGAATCTTGGCAGTGCTAGTTGATCAACATAAGCATTTAGTTAGCGCCCATGGAGCCAGGCTATGCGCTCGATGCCATGGGCTGCAAAGATTCAGGGTTTGCTCCTAGATGGAGGGTAGATTTCCTCATCTGTAGTCCAGGACGAACAGGATCCACAGCCAAGTGGGCTCACTGCACTGGGTGTCATTTGAGCCTGGGGCTTCCTGGAGGGAGACCCAGCAGCTGAGCTAAGAAGGATGGACTGGTGGCCAGCAGGCAGAGGGTATCCCAAGTGGAGAATAAGTCAGGTTTGAAGGGACAAGACTGTATGAAGAAGCCTGTGGAGGTCAGGGGAGTGAGACGGGGGCAGCGTGAACAGGTCTAGTCCGGAAGGACCGTGGACAGTGGAGATGGTTAGGCAGGGAAATGATGAAGTCGATTGGCATGTCCATCAGGCTGCCTTTGTAGTACAGAATCTATTTTCTCACTGACGCAGACCCTGGCCATGGATCTGTACGGTTTTTTCTTCTTTTTCCCTAGGTGGTTCTGCTCTGTGTGATGCGGTTAATGATGCCTGCAGGGACATGAACTTTCTCTGTTTTGTACTGAATCTCATTATCTTAAGCTGACTTATTCTTAGTTTTGCCCCAGGGATCTGGGACAAGAGCTCTTCTTCCTTTGGGGCACACATTGTCTTACTCCTATCCCACCTCTTATCCTGGTCTGTACTCAACACATTGTGACAGCAGGCAGCTAGGTACCAGGCACAGTGCTGGGTTTGGGTACTGCTCTGAGGGGTCTGTCCTGTCCATTTTGTGTTCGAGTGGGCTAAGCTCTGGGAAGTTCCCTGCTGATGTAGAATCATAAGCAGATGGGTACTCTGATGTGGGGAGTCTGTCCAAAAGCCTGCTCTTCGTCTGAACATTTTACTCGCTCCTTATTGTGCATATCCTTCTGGAGAATCAATTATTCTATAGGTCTTGAAATCAGGACACATTTTATTACTAGGTGTACCATTTCCCTCTTTTTGGTTAGTGTTTTTCTACATCCCATTTTCACTTGTATTTGTCTGCATATATGTCTTGTGTACATTTTTGTATATGTTTATGGATGAACACCCGTTTAGATCTTAGTGTGTGTGTGAGCCTTCATTAGGGTTACTATAGCTATGATGAAACATCATGACCAAAATAAAGTTGGGGAGGAAAGGGTTTGTTTAGCTTCTACTTCCAGATCACTGTTCATCACTGAAGGAAGTCAGGACAGGAACTCAATCAGGAGACAGAAGCAGATGCAAAGGCCATGGAGGGGTGCTGCTTACTGTCTTGCTCCTTATGGTTTGCTCAGCCTACTTTCTTATAGAACTATAGAACCCAGGACCACCAGCCCAGGGATGGAACCACCCACAATGGGCTGGACCCTCATCCACCAATCGCTAATTAAGAAAATGTCCCACAGGCTTGTCTGAAGTCCAGTTTTATGGAGGCATTTTCTCAGTTGAAGTTCCCTCCTCTCAAATGATTTTAGTTTGTGTCAAGCTGACATAAAACTCTCCTTCACAGTGTGTATCTCAGGAAAGATGAAACTGCATCACTTTTATTTCCATGATTGGTATGAACAGAAACTTTGTACGACCTGCCTAAAGGTACACAGTATTCCCTCCAACTGGACTGCATGTTAGAATCACCTGGAGAGCTTGGTTGGCATAGAGATTCTTGGGTTTATTATGGAGATTATAATTCTGTGGGTTTGGGAGAAGGTCTTAGAATTAGTGTTTCCACAGTTGTGTCATGTGACTATACAACAGCCTTTGAATAGATGGAAAATAGAGGAAGAATGCCTTTGAGAAACAGATGGAGAATGCCACGTCTGTTGTTTTGTTGCCTGTGTGAACATGGCCAAACGAGTCACCTTCTCTGTGAGTGTGATCATTCTTAAGCTGGTGTGGACCTTTACACACCTGAAGTAGTAATCCCTCATGCAGCGCTTTACCAACCCACAGACTCCATTTCACATATTAGCTAATTTAATTTTCCCAGCAGGCAGCAAGAGAGATAATAGTTTTTTGGGTTTTTTTTTTTTTGTTTTTTTTCAGATGAGATTAAGTGATATTTGGGCCATGATAAAGGTTGTTCAAGGGCAGTATCAGGACAAGAATAGGATGGGAGAGTGTTCTGGGGAGCACTCTCCTCACCTTTCTTCCTTGCTGTTACGTTGGAACTATCGCCTAAGTCTCCATGTGTGGGTGACTCAGCAAGGGTAGAGGTGCGTAGAGTGTGAGCTCATCAACTACTTTCTAGAACAGCGGTTCTCAACCTGTGGGTCTTCACCCCGCCCCCCCCCCCGGAGTAGCATATCAGATATTAACATTATGATTCATAACAGTAGCAAAATGACAGTTATGAAGTAGCAAGGAAACGTTTTTATGGTTGGGCATCACCACCACATGAGGAACTGTATTGAAGGGTCACAGTACTGGGGAGGTTGAGAACCACCACTGTAGAGTTTCTTCACTTGTGGAGAGTTCCAAGTGTGCGTGTGTGTGCAAGCATGTGTGTGAGTGCAGGCACATGTGTGCCATGGCGTGCATGTGGAAGACAGCAGACAGTGGTAGATGTGGGCCTCACCTTCCGCCATGTTTAAGACTGGGTCTCCTTTGCTGTTTTCCTGCTCTAACTGTGGCAGGATCTCAGGACCTTCATCTGTCTCTGCTTTTCTTCTTGATGTAGGAACCCTGGGATTTCAGACATGGGCTGTCTGTTGGGTCCTGCATTTATGTGGGTTTTAGGAATTTGAACTAAAGTCCTTGTGCTTTCAAGGCAAGTGCTTTATTCACTGAGCCATATCCTTACTCTGAGGTTGTTTTCTTGACAGGAAGAACACACCAAGTTGGCACATTGGTCTACCACGAGGGAAAGCTCAGGTTCTGAATGAGTTCAGTCCACTAGCCATTTGTAGGAAACAGTCTTGCAACCATGGTGGAAGCCTCTTCCTGGATATGCAGAAACCTTGGGGGAAACGTTCTTCTTGTTGAGGCTTCTTTCCAGGGTAGGGGTGGAATGGTATCTTTCCTACTTATCATAAAGTTGTGGTCCACACCCCTATAGCAAAGACAAGTTAATGAGAGAAAAGTAAAACAAAAGTCAACTGATTGTAGTTTTACATGCCACAGAAGCCTTCAGACTGAAGACCCAAAGGCCTGGTGTGTCCTGCTGAAGAATGGATAGCTGTAGAGAACATACCACTGGGGGAAAAGGTGCAATCCAATGCTGGTAAAGGGAGCAGGGAAGCAGCAAGACCTGTCTGTTTAGAGCAGTGGATCCCAACCTTCCTAATGCTGTGATCCTTTAATACAGTTCCTTACGTTATGGTGACCCCTAACCATAAAATTATGTTTGTTGCTACTTCATAGCTATTATGCTACTGTTATGAATCACAATGTAAATATCTGCTGTGTAGGCTATATATGCTGTGAAAAGAGTCAGTCACTTCCCCATAGGGGGGTCATGACCCACAGAATGCTGATTTAGATCCTTTGAACTTATCTGAGCTGCATTCTTTTCCTCCTGGGTGTGGATGAGTCCCTTTATGGACTGAAGGACTTAGATCTACTATCAGACAAGGGAGGCCAGAGAATGTGTTAGATTAATCTTTGGAAGCTTTATGGCTTGCTTTGGGTAAAGGAGTCCTGGTATCATGTGGCTTGTCCTAGGGAGGAGAGATTTCAGATTCTTTGCCTTGCCCTTGGCAGAGAATGAGGACCAGGAGACAGGAGGAAATGCTTATGAAGAGACTTTGCATCTGAGACCTTCACTTTGGGGTATTCTTTAAATGCTCCAATACCAGCATGGAGATGGGGAT